GCCGACCTGTGAAACCAATCTGAAGCCCATCTAACCTAAACTATTCCATTATCACCCATATGTTTATCCAATGACCATTTAAATGCCCTTAAAGTTGGCGAGTGTACTATTTTTGCAGGCAGGGCATTCCACGCCCTTACTACTCTCTGAGTGAAGAACCTACCACTGACATCTGTCCTATATCTGTCACCCCTCAATTTAAAGCTATGTCCCCTCGTGCGAGCCATCACCATCTGAGGAAAAAGGCTCCCACTGTCTACCCTATCTAATCCTCTGATCATCTTGTATGTCTCTATCAAGTCACCTCTTAACCTTCTTCTCTCTAACGAAAACAGCCTCAAGTCCCTCAGCCTTTCCTCATAAGACCTTCCCTCCATACCAGGCAACATCCTGGTAAATCTCCTCTGCACCCTTTCCAATACTTCCACATCCTTCCTATAATGCGGTGACCATAACTGTACGCAATACTCCAAGTGCGGCCGCACCAGAGTTTTGTAAAGCTGCAACATGACCTCATGGCTCCGAAACTCAATCCCTCTACCAATAAAACCTATCAACGCTATCAACCTGGGTGGCAACTTTCAGTGATCTATGCACATGGACACCGAGATCTTTCTGCTCATCCACACTACCGAGAATGTTACCATTAGCCCAGTACTCTGTATTCCTGTTACTCCTTCCAAAGTGAATCACCTCACACTTTTCTGCATTAAACTCCATTTGCCACCTCTCAGCCCAGCTCTGCAGCTTATCTATGTCCCTCTGTAACCTGCAGCATCCTTCCGCACTATCCACAACTCCACCGACTTTGGTGTCATCCGCAAATTTACTAACCCATCCTTCTACGCCCTCATCCAGGTCATTTATAAAAATGACAAACAGCAGTGGCCCCGAAACAGATCCTTGAGGTACACCACTAGTAACTGAACTCCAGGATGAACATTTCCCATCAACCACCACCCTCTGTCTTCTTACAGCTAGCCAATTTCTGATCTAAACCGCTACATCACCCTCAATCCCATGCCTCCGTATTTTCTGCAATAGCCTACCATGGGGAACATTATCAAACGCTTTACTGAAATCCATATTCACCACATTAACTGCTTTACCCTCATCCACCCGTTTGGTCACCTTCTGAAAGAACTCAATAAGGTTTGTGAGGCACGACCTACCCTTCACAAAACCGTGTTGACCAGCCCTAATCAAATTATTCCTTTCTAGGTGATTATAAATCCTATCTCTTATAATCCTTTCCAACACTTTACCCACAACTGAAGTAAGGCTCACTGGTCTATAATTACCAGGGTTGTCTCTACTCCCCTTCTTGAACAAGGGGACAACATTTGCTAGTCTCCAGTCTTCTGGCACTATTCCTGAAGACAATGACGACATAAAGATCAAAGCCAAAGGCTCTGCAATCTCCTGTCTAGCTTCCCAGAGAATCCTAGGATAAATCCCATCCGGTCCAGGGGACTTATCTATTTTCACACCTTCCAGAATTGCTAACACCTCCTCCTTATGAACCTCAATCCCGTCTAGTCTAATAGCCTGTATCTCAGTATCCTCCTCGACTACATTGTCTTTTTCCTGTGTGAATACTGACGAAAAATATTCATTTAGCACCTCTCCTATCTCTTCGGACTCCACGCACAACTTCCCACTACTGTCCTTGACTGGCCCTAATCTTACTCTCGTCATTCTTTTATTCCTGACATACCTATAGAAAGCTTTAGGGTTTTCCTTGATCCTACCTGCTAAAGACTTCTCATGTCCCCTCCTGGCTCTTCTTAGCTCTCTCTTTAGGTCCTTCCTGGCTAACTTGTAACTCTCAAGCACCCTAACTGAGCCTTCATGCCTCATCTCTACATAAGCCTCCTTCTTCCTCTTGACAAGAGATTCAATTTCTTTAGTGAACCACGGTTCCCTCGCTCGACCACTTCCTCCCTGCCTGACAGGTACATACTTATCAATGACACGCAGTAACTGTTCCTTGAACAAGCTCCACATTTCAATTGTGCCCAGCCCCTGCAGTTTCCTTCTCCATCCTATGCATCTTAAATCTTGCCTCATCACCTCAATTGCCTTTCCCCCAGCTATATATAACTCTTACCCTGCGGTATATACCGATCCCTTTCCATCGCTAAAGTAAACGTAACCGAATTGTGATCACTATCACCAAAGTGCTCACCTACCTCCAAATCTAACACCTGGCCTGGTTCATTACCCAGTACCAAATCCAATGTGGCCTCGCCTCTTGTTGGCCTATCTACATACTGTGTCAGGAAACCCTCCTGCACAAATTGGACAAAAACTGACCCATCTGAAGTACTCGAACTACAGCGTTTCCAGTCAATACTTGGAAAGTTAAAGTCCCCCATAACAACTACCCTGTTCCTTTCGCTCCTATCCAGAATCATCTTTGCAATCTTTTCCTCTACATCTCTGGAACTTTTCGGAGGCCTATAGAAAACTCCCAACAGGGTGACCTCTCCTTTCCTGGTTCTAACCTCAGCCCATACTACCTCAGTAGACGAGTCCTCATCAAACGTCCTTTCTGCCACCGTAATACCGTCCTTGACTAACAATGCCACACCTCCCCCTCTTTTACCACCTTCCCTGATCTTACTGAAACATCTAAACCCCGGAACCTGCAACAACCATTCCTGTCCCTGCTCTATCCATGTCTCTGAAATGGCCACAACATCGAAGTCCCAGGTACCAACCCATGCTGCGAGTTCACCCACCTTATTCCGGATGTTCCTGGCATTGAAGTAGACACACTTCAAATGACCTTCCTGCCTGCCGGTACACTTCTGCGACCTTGAAACCTTATTTATGACCTCACTACTCTCAACCTCCTGTACACTGGAGCTACAATTCAGGTTCCCATCCCCCTGTTGAATTAGTTTAAACCCTCCCGAAGAGCATTAGCAAATTTCCCCCCCAGGATATTGGTACCCCTCTGGTTCAGGTGTAGACCATCCTGTTTGTAGAGGTCCCATCTACGCCAGAATGAGCCCCAATTACTGAATCCCTCCCTCCTGCACCATCCCTGTAGCCACGTGTTCAACTGCTCTCTCTCCCTATTCCTCGCCTCGCTAGCACGTGGCACGGGTAACAAACCAGGGATAACAACTGTGTTTGTTCAAACGGGTGGTAATCTGGAAATTAATACCTGTGATTCTTTGTTAGAATTTAACGCCAAGCTCCTTGTAATTCCACAGGAGAACCTCTTTCCTAGCCATGGTCCACAACAACTGGATGCTTCCTCTCCAGTCCAGTCTAGTCTAGTCTAGTTCCCCAGAAGTGATAGCTAAAACGATGGCATCAGGTGGGCAATATCACCTTCAGGATTTTTGATCTGTGCTGCAGAAAACAGCATTTATTCCTGTAAGCTATCCCTTAATACTACAACATTTCTCTTCTCCCCCATCTTGAACGGTACTCTGAACCAGAGTGCTGCGGTCAGTTTTCTCACCCACCCTGCAGTCTGTATCTTCATCCATGCCAGGAGCAGGAAGACCACATGTATTGGATAAGGGCACTGGCTGAGGTTCCTTCAAAGCTAAGTTACGAATGCCCACGCCTGCCTCACATGCAGTCACAGACTCCTGAACATGGGTCAGGTATCTCTTGCCCTCCCTGATGTGTCATAGTGCCCACAACTCAGACTCCAGCTCATTAACTCTGAGCCATCATTCCTTGAGCAGCAACACTTGCTGGAAGATGTGGTCACTGTGGAGTGGTGTCCACCAGCCCCCATACATTACAGCTGAAACATATTGCTTACCAAGACAGCTCAATAGAATACTAAACATTTAAAATGTGATTTTTTTCAAACTGTACTCTTAAGCTGTGATAATACCTAATTAAACAAATTGTCCAATCAAAAAGCACAAGAAATACCCACCAGTCACTTAGCTGTTTTCCTGTAGTATCATTGTTGGCTCTTGCAGTAAGAAACAAGTTGAAGGGACTCTCTACAGCAGCTTTTTGTTCTCACTGTTGGAGCCCATCTCACGCAGGTCCACTCTTCTCTTTCTGTAGCTGCTCTCTTGCGCTCCTCGTAAAGCTGTTGCACGTTCTCTCTCTCTCTCTCACACACACACACACACACACACACACACACACACACACACACAATTTCAGAAACACAGCTCATCTTCTCTTGTTTGGTCCACCTCAGTGAAATGCTGAATTGCAGCATGCTCCTCCCAGAGCTCCCTGTAGCGATGCTGAATTACAGTACACTCCTCCTAATGTTCTCAACAACAATGCCGAATTGCACACACCTCCTGGTCTGCTTCTCAGTGACACTGACTGCTGCACACTCCTTCCAATCTTTGCTGATTTGCAAAGGCGAAAACTGCACAAGGTCCCACAGGTGCACAGAAAGTAATGAGAGTGCTTGTAATTGCATGAGCCATATCATTCTTTACATTGCTAACAGAAACAAGTCAAAGCTTAATAAAAACCGAAAGAACTGCAGATGCTGTAAATCAGGAACAAAAACAGAAGTTGCTGGAACTAAGGGTGGGTCACCGGACCCCAAAAGTTAACCCTGGTATTTTCCTCACAGATGCTGCCAAACCTGCTGAGCTTTTCCAGCAAATTCTGTTTTTGTTCCTGAAAAGTCAAAGCTCATCTTCTTGCGCTCATCAGGAGTAAAAAGTAAGAAACAGACTTCAAGAAAGTGATGTTATTTACACAACACAAAAGGAGGGTGCTGAACAGTTTGGCCTTCATTGGTGTACAGATGTAACAAGAACAGTTAACTGGCAATATTAATTCTCAGACCAGGTGGGTTACTATCTGAATTATGCTTGCTTTCGTTGGTTTCTCACAGGAAAATTTTGAAAGATGACATCTTGTCCAGCAGTTTCTTTCTGTTGGCATTGCAGGGATTTTGTTCACTATTAAACATTATCAGTCTCTAGAGAGTCCATAACAATGCTTGCATTATATTCTGTGATAAATACAACATTAAAATGCAACAAAGATCCATTCAGAAGCTTCAATGGCTTTTAATTATTACAGACTGAAGCAATCATGAGTTGTGGGTGAGTCAAGCTATTCTAGAATCCTCTACTGAGTCACAAGGAGCAGGTAAATGTGCCTAGCTCACACACTGTTTATACATGATTATACACAATTTACAGAATTCAGATCATACAAGATCTATTATCCAAGGCTAGAATAACTTGCAATGATCTGTTCTACGGTTGTGAAACAATCCAGAAAGTCCTCTTCTGAGATTCCATGTTTCATGTACTGATGCACATATGCTCTAAAAAAAATCAAATCAAAAATTTCTGAATAGACTAAAAGATGTAATTGCAAAACAAAATAATTTTCTGCTGAAAACATTTCCAAGATTTCTATCTAAAAGTAAAATGATTTCTAAGAATCTAAGGTTACTGAAAACTATAAAAAAACCAAATCAGGAAGCAAACGATCTCAACTTAAAATCCAGTAGCATGGACACTGAGCAATACAGATTCACCATTCCAGTAGATGGGTGCAAAATGGAGACTCCACCTTCTATAATAGAATGGAGAGACTAGCAAATTAATGAAGAGTTATAGTCTGCAGCAGCACAGATTATTAACAAGGATGTGGTGAATGCAAGGGAGAAAACGGCCTAGTGATACTATTGCTGGACTGTTAATCCAGAGACCTGGTTATGTTCTGGGGATCTGGGCTCAAATCCCGCCACGGCAGATAGTGGAATTTGAATTCAATAAAAAAAACTGGAATCAAGAGTAAAGGGAATCAAAATAAATTATCATCAATCCATTGTCGATTGTCAGGAAAAACCCATACGGTTCGCTAATGTCTCTGAGGAGGGAAGCTGCCATCCTTACCTGGTCTGGCCTACATGTGACTCCAGACCCACAGCAGTATGACTGACTCTTTACTGCCCTCTAGACAATTAGGGACAGATAACAAATGCTGGCCTAGCCAGTGACGTCCTCATCTCATGAATGAATAAAAAAAAAACTTGAGTCACAAAACAGGTCAAGCAGACAAAAGAATTATTAATAAAGTAGTGTCATAAAATGTAAATAAAAGTAATTCAAAAGTAAACAGGTCCTTTTTGGGAAACTTGTATTTCAATAACTTGAACTGATACTAACCGTGAAGCAAACATGTCCCAAGCTTTTGCCACAGTGCTGTCCAGGGGTTTCTGTAGACACTGGCTGTTGCTGACAACAGTTGCTGATTTTTCATACTTGTTAAAAGTTCTGGAAGTTCTCCATATGCTGAGGGCAGAATCAGCAGGCATCCAGGTGGTGTACAGTGCTTGCTCTTTAAAACCATCTAATAATGTAGATTATCATCACAAATTAATTTGAAGTGCTAGGTTGGAGTAGGGAGAAAGCTGCTTCAGCAGATTAGGTCACAAACCTAAAGTACAAGAGCTGAGAATGGGAGACAAGATTAGTCCCATACAAAAAGTTATACATTGCTCACATGTTCCTGAGACACCTCAATGATTTCTTTGTTTTCTGTTAAAGCTATCATCACAGAATTGTAAAGAATGATAAATTTTAGTTTTTATTTTTAAAAACACTAACATTAGTCATGGCTAGTAATTTGCAATCTCATATTATAAATCCAATAGGTTAAAGCACCAAGCAACAATGGGATTGAGTTTGACTAATTCAAACAGCTTGGGACTGAAAAGCAATATACCCATATTAACACTCCAAATTTCCTATAACCAATGACCTAAATCTTTCGAGATTAAATTGAAATTTGCTGTCTAAAGTTTCTGAAAGAGAACAAGATGAGTTACTATCAGGATTAACAGAGATACAGGATTATGGAATACTCTAAATACATGCCTGCAGCGTCAACATGTAGCAGTGACAGATTCAATTACTCAATTGGCCAGCAAACATCCTAAGCTTGTACATTTTCCTTAAGGGAAAGTTAGAGAGAGAATAAACATTACAGCCAATGTTAACTGCAAGGTTTCAGCAGCAAATGAGATGAACAAATAGCTGTTGGTAATACCTGTGAAACTTTAAGCAGAGGCCATCAGTACTTAATCATCCACTTGAACCATAAAAACAAGCAAAGAGGGCTTGAATTGATCCTCCCACCAGGAAGTTAGCAGCTGCAACAATGGTGCACTCCCTCAGATCTGCACTATATTAATGTGGATATCATACTCCAGTTCTTCTTCTCATCCAAGGTGTGGGTTTATCAACTGAGATAAACCAGCACTCTCTGGCTTCTGTGTATATTGAAAATGAGAGACTGTACTCACCAGTGTCAGCTTGCAATACCTCCTTCCCCCGCAATACCAGAAGGTTGGCCAGAGAGGTATTGAAGTGTAGCTCCCTGTCAGAGAAAAGTTTTGAAGCTGGAGGATGGCCTGCTGGGGGCAGTTTCATTTGCCAATCGATCCCTGACAACAGAAACAGATCCCTGCATTTTCTCCACTGTACTAGTAAAAACATAGAGGAAAAAAGTCCGCTTGTTTGTCCTTTAACATGCTAATCACAAAAATAAGACCATTAGATGACAACAGGATGTAGACGCAGAAGGTGGTCACTCAGCTCCTCAGATGGCTGATCTGATAATCCCCATACTTTCCTGTCTTTTTCCTCATAATCTTCAATTCCTTTGATTAAAAATCTCTCAACTTTGAACATACTTACCAGCTCAGCCTTGACAGCCCTCTGTAGTGAAGAATACCACAGATTCACTACCCTCAGAAAAAATTCCTCATCTCCGTCTTAACTGGATGGCCCCTTACTCTGAGATCATGTCCTCCACTGTTCCTAGACTCTTCCACAATGGGAAACCACCTTTCCACATCTACCCTGTCACCTAAGGATCTTGTCTGTTTCAATAAGGTCACCTCTCATTGTTTAAAACTCCAATATGTACAGGTCCATCACCTCCCTCTAAATAATAATTAGCTCCTTTATTCTTTCTGCCGAAGTACATAACCTCTCACATTCCCACATTATGTTCCATCTGCCAAGTTTTGCCCACTTGATTAACCTGTCAATACCCTCTGTGGCCACCCTGAGAGGCGATGGCCCATGGCCTAGTAGTATTATCACTTAACTACAAGTCGAGAGACCCAGCTAATATTCTGGGGACTTGGGTGCAAATTCTGCCATGGCAGATGGTCGAATCTGAATCCAATAAAAATCAATTAGGAGCCTGATGACAACCATGAAACCATTGGCAACTGTTGGAAAAATACCCATCTGGTTCACTGAGGTCCTTTAAGGAAGGAAATCGCTGGCCTATGTGTAACTCCAAATCCACAGCAGTATGGGTTGAGCCTTAACTGCTCACTGGCCAGTTTAGGATGGGCAATAAATGTTGGACTAGCCAACAATACCTACATCATAAGAATTAATTTTAAAAAAATCCTCACCACTTGCCTTCTCACCTATTTTTGTGACATTTGCAAACTTGGCATTCACTTTCCTGATCTATTAAGGAGAGATCAGAGGATAGATTCAGTTAGGATAAAATCAGAAATGAAAATGGAAGACAAAAAAAAAAGTGGATAATTCTGAAAGGGAGAAGAAACCAAGCTGAGACAGCCAAATCTAGAACCTCCAATTGCCAAGGAGGTTATAGGTTGAAATAAGGCAGAAAAGAAAATCTTATGCATAACACAGAACTCAGCACAACAGAAAACCAAAAAGAAGTATAGAAAGTGGAGGGCTGAAAACAAATGCAAAATTAGAAAACAGAAGAGAAAAGCACAAGAGAACACTGGCAAGCAAAATCAAGACAAACATAAAAATGTTTCATCAATACATGAAGATGAAGAGGATAACTAAGGAAAGAGTAGGCAAAAGATAAAAAAAGGAACCAATGTGTAAGGTTGAAGGTGTGGGTATAGTTCTTAATGAGTACTTTATGTTTGTCTTCACAAGAGAAAGGAACAATGCAGATATTGCAACTAAGGAGCACGAGTGTAAAACAGTGGATATGATAAACATGGGGACACTGGATATATTTGTTGGATTAGCATTGTTGAAAGTGAATAAATCATCAGGGCTGGATGAAATTCGCCCAGGCTGTTAAAAGCAGCAAAGGTGGAAACCATTTTCAATCCTTAATACATACAGATATTATGCTAGAGGATTAGAGGACCGTTCATGTAATGCTTTTGCTTAAAAAGGGAAGGAGGGGTCGACCTGATCGTTTCAGTCCAATCAGTCTGACCTCAGTAGTGAAAAAGCTGCTGAAATCAATTCCGAGACAGGACAGTCTGTCACATGCTGAAACAGATTAATTAAGGAGTCAACATGAATTTGTTCAGGGAAGACCTTGTTGAGAAAGTAACAAGGAAGGTTGGCTGAGAGTAGTGTAGTTGATGTAGTCTACATGGACTTTAGCAAAGCTTTTGACAAGGTCCCAGATGAAAGACTGGTTAAAAAAAATAAAAACACAATATTCTGGGGATCGTAGCAAGCTGGATACAAAACTGGTTCAGTGGCAGAACATTAAGGATAACGGTCAACAGGTGATTTTGGCAACTGGAAGGCTGACTCTAGTAGGCTTCTGTTATGAAGTTGTGTAGAATACTCATGAATTGAAAAACAGTGCATGATCCCTTTAAGAGATCGTGCTTTGTCTGTGCTTGGAAGTTTGTAAGCAAATGCACAGAGACTGTCTGAATGGAAACATTGTGTCAACCAGCCAAGCAGCATTTTTACCAAGACAACAAGTCTTTTCAAACTTAGCCAATCAATTTAAACCAAGCCCTCAGATAGTAAAAACCTATTAAATTTAAATCTGATGGTGCTGACATCATCAAACCAATCCTACATAAGAAATTTTGTGATATCATTACGGGTATAAAGATGAGGGCATTTGGAAAATTGGAGAGTGCCAACTGCCAAGAGACAATACCTTTTAGCTCTCAGAAAAAGCACCAGCTACTTAAAAAAGTACCACAGCATTTCGAGCTAGAAGACCTCACAGAGGCAATTACAGAGAAAATCATCCCTGACAGCAGAAATTAGCGGAAGAAAGACATTTGTGATGTGAGATCAACAGGAAAAAGGCTGAAGAAAGCAGAGTGTTCCAGAAGATAGTTTGTGTGAACTTGGACAGATTAGGTTTTAATTTATCATTGTCTTATTAATTGGTTTATATAAGTAGGACTTGTGTTTATTTGAACAGCATTCCAGAAGTTAGACCAGTTAGGGAGTAGTAGTACTTAGGTGGAAATTGTTTGGTTTGTTAATTATTCTGTTAATTTGTTCATTGTTAGGGTTAAATAAATTAATTTCTTGTTATAAAGGGGATCAGGGATTTTTTTAAACAGATTACGAGGGGAAAGGGGAGTTTTTCTGGGCATTTCGGGGGTAATTATTAGAAGGGAACCTCTACTCCTGTCAAAACAGATCAGGGCTTGTGTTTTGGTTTAATTATCACAGGGGTTTTGCCATTCCCCCTCTGTAACAGCTTCATACTAGGTCCCCTCCTTTTGTTGGTATATATTAACAATTTGGATATAAATGTAGTGGGCAAGAATAAGTTATGCAGACAAAACAAAAGTTGGCAACGTAGTTGACGGTGCAGAGGATAGCTATAAACTGCAGAAGGTCAGGTGGGCAGAAAAGTACCAAATGGAATTCAATCTGGAGAAGTGTGACATGATGCACCTAGGGAGGTCAAACAATGCAATGGATTACAGAAAGCAAAGAACAAGAGAGAAGTACAGGGCAGGAATAAACCATTCAGCCCTCCAAGCCTGTGCCAATTATCATGCCCAAACTAAATTAAAAAAAACAAACCTTCAGCCCTTATTCGGTCCATATCCCTCTATTCCCTCCCTATTCATGTAACCATCCCGATGCCTCTTAAATGTTGCCAACATGCCTGCTTCCACTACCTCTTCTGGCAGTGCATTCCAGACTCCTATTGTTCTCTGTGTGAAAAACTTCCCTCGCACATCTCCCTTAAACTCTCCCCCTCTCACCTTGAACCTGTGCCCCCTTGTAATTGAAACTTCAACCCTGCAAAAAAGCCTATGACTATCCACCCTATCTATGCCTCTCAATTTTGTAGACCTCTATCAGGTCTCCTCTCAGCCACTGTCTTTCCAGTGAAAACAATCCTAGTCTTTTTAACCTTTCCTCATAGCCAAAGCCCGCAAGACCGGGCAACATCCTGGTGAACCTTCTCTGCACTCTCTCAAACGCTTCCACGTCCTTCTGGTAGTGTGGTGACCAAAACTGCACACACTACTCCAAATTCAGCCTATATAGCTGCAACATGGTTTGTCAACTCTTGTACTTCATGCCCCAGCCGATGAATGCAAGCATGCCATATGTCTTCTTGATCACCTTGGCCACTGGTGTTGCCACATTTAGGGACTTGCACGCCTAGATCCATCGATATGTTAATGCTCCTAAGGGTTCTGCCATTTACAGTATAATTCACACCTAAATTTTATCCTCCAAAATGCATCAACTCACATATGACTGGATTAAACTCCACCTGCCATTTCTGTGCCCAAGTCAACAATCTATATCCTGTTGTATCCTTTCACAATCGTCAGCACTATAAGCATCTCCACCAATCTTCGTGTCATCTGCAAACTTAATGAGTCTCTCTTTTGTCCCCAGTCCCCTGAACTTATTGGCCCTGCCACACTATTTTAAACCCTCCCAAATAGCTACAGCAAACCTCCCACCTAGGAAATGGAAGAATACTAAGTGTATGGGAAGTAGCGGAATTGGAGTGAATGTTCACAGGTTCCTGAGGACAGCTGAACAGGTTGATAAAATGGTAAAGACAGCATATGGGAACCTTTCCTTTATTAGCTGAGCTATAGAATATAAGACCAGGAAGATTATGCTGGAATTGAATAAATCAGTTAGGCCACAACTTCAGTACTGCATGCAGTTCTGATCACCTCATTACAGAAAGGATGCAACTAGACTAGAGAGGGGATAGAGGAGATTGACAAGAATGCTGCCAGGATGAGGAAAAACTTGGAGAAACTGGGATTTTCCTTACTGGAAAAGAGCAAGGTGAAGGGAGATTTGACTGAAATGCACCAGATTAAGGGGCCATGATAGAGTGAAGAGGGTTCAGTGACGAGGGGCCATAGATTTTAAGTAGAAGGTAGGATTAGAGGGTAGATAAGTCCTTTTACATGCAAAAAAAAAAAAAAAAAAAAAAAAAAAAAAAAATGGGGTTTAGAACTTGCCGCCTGAAAGGAAAGCAGAGGAAGAAACCCTCAACACATTTAAAAGATGCCTTGCTATGCACCACAAGCTATGGCCCAAATGCTGGAAAGTAGGAACAGGCTGATCAATCATTTTTTGGCTGCTGCAGGCACAATGGGCAGTGTGGTGTTTTTCTGTGCTTCAGTGTTTCTGTGTTTGATATATGAAACAAGCTGAAGAGCCTGAATGGCCTCCTCCATATTCCTGTGTATATCACAGTGTGGTTCAACAGGGAATCAGTGCTGGGGCTGCAACTGTTTACAATATATATATTTATGACTTGGAGGAAGGAACCAGATGTATTGTAGCTGAATTTGCACATGACAAAAACAGATGGAAAGGCAAGTTGCAAAAGGGATACAAATAGTTTACAGACAGATACTGGTAGATGAAGTAAGTGGACAAGAAGCTGGCAAATGGTCTACAATGTGGGAAAACATGAGGTTGCTCATTTTAGAAGGGAGAACAAAAGAAAACTTATTTAAATAGAGAAAAAAAAGTGGAAAAGGCTGCACTGCAAAGGGACT